CTGAAGAGAGGAACTTCTTATACGGTGCGGAGTAATTATTTATTATTGTTATTATTATTATTATTATTGTTTTTGTTTTGTATTACTGTTAATTTAAAACTTTTTTCCTATCTCCAAGCTGGGGATGGCGTGAGATTTTACAACGAACGGAACTTGTGTGTACATTTATGAAATACTTTAAGTGAGAGAGATTTATTAAAAGTATACCTGTGTTTGGTCTGTGAAAACAAGACAAGGAGGATTACGAATGAATTCGAAGAAGCAGGGCTGGTTTGGTGTTGGTGTAAGAACAGCAGGAAGTATGAGACGTGGTGGACTGGAAATTAGTTCAAAAGAAGAAGACAATTGTTCTTCGTACTCACCGCCGTGAGAACCAAAAATCATACTTTTTAGTTTGAAGCAGAGCCGTAATTATGTTAGTGTGAAGGCACTTATAGATAAACTTCATTCATAAGTCAGGGCAATTACATTCCAAATGAGGGGGCTACTTGAGAATGTGAAGTTCGGTTAGTTTAAGTTTTGTTAGTTGAGGTGAGGTTAGGTTGGGTTACGTTGCGTTGTGTTAGGTTAGGTTTGAGTGGGATTTGTTATTTTATGTTTTGGTCCCTCACGTTGCGTATTGTGGTTAGGTTTTTTGATCGTTTTCGCTTTAGTTATTACGGGATAGGTAGGTTGTCATGTATTATGTCATTAAAGTTCAAGGTTATTAGAAAACGAATTTTACCGACACTTAATTCTGAAGAAACATATATATCTTGGTGAACATACTCACGTATCGTTGAGGTCGCCTACAAATCAAGGTCATGTCACATACACGACCAGGCCTCGGATTCGGAAGCAATTTTATTTGGAGTCTGAGTTCGTAAAAATGTATCGACTCCGACCTCGATATAAATCTTAAGAAAAATTTCTATTCCGTGTGAGCAGCTGGCGGCCTCACGCTTATGGAGATTTAACATCGTGTTGAGCCACATGCTTTGTAACTTTGGCTCCGGTACCTTAAGAATACAAACTGTCCACAAATCAACCGATGTCTGCAAAAGCCAGTAGACGTATATTTAAATACAGGTTATTATTCTGAAAAGTAGGCTGATGATTCACGTGGTGGTGATGAAGTCTCTTATGGTGTCATTTAACATTTTTGTAGGTTTACACTTATTAATACATATTCAGCTTTTATGAAGGAGTCTGGGTCGAAGCCGGTGTCGGAGTCGGAGGTTTTAGTACCGGCTCGACAGCCCTAGTTTGAAGGAATTCGCATAATTTCCACCAGAGTACAAAACATACTTCAGAGATGAAAGCCTGCATTGAGCACTTGTTGGGACAAGATTAAATTAGTAAATTAAAGAAGTAGATATTAAAAGATGTCGAATGAAACCATGGGGTCTTAGTAATGGGAAACCGACCTGGGGACGGTTGGTGCTTGAAGTATAATTACCTCATTGTAGTGCCGAAGTCTGAAAGGAGTGGATATTTATCTCCACGTCCATTATAAGCCTTTTTACTGTGGTGTTTAGACCTCTTGGGTAAGGCCAGAATTCTATTGGGCCAACGGAATCAGACCACTGGGTTAGTCGGATCAGGAACTTCAACTCCGTCGCGACAAATTGGACAAGTTCGGAGACTGTCCGATCTAAGGCGAAAGTTTCGGACTTTTCCGGTTATCCTGCTGTTTTGAGTCAGTTCGGTGGGGGTTATCGTTTCTAATTTTATTGTAACGTGTTTATACTTCAGTTTCTCTCTGTATGTGATATTATTTAATCGTAAAACTATAAGAGAAATTACGGTGGAAAGGAGACTTGTAAAATAATGTAGATGTTAGAAAGTATTGGATGAAACTTAATATAGAGCAGCCATATTTGGTACCTCACATTTAATCCTTCTTAACAGCTTTATAGATATCAGTGACCATATTTTTTAAGCAAATGAACTAAATACTCGACAAGTTGGCTGTCTTCTGGATTGTAGCCCCGTATTGTCTGGTAGACGTTTTCCGACGTTTCAGAGGTATATACTGCCCCCATCATTGTTCTGATGATGGAGGCAACAAGGACCTCAGAAACGTCGGTAAAGTTTTACCAGACTACTCGGCGCTACAACCCATAAGCCGGTCATCTTCCTACTCACCGCCGTGAGATTCCGAAATCCTACTACATATATACTCACTAATTTATCTCACGCGTTCCTAGTTATAATGCTTCATTGATCTGTGTGGAACTATTTGTTCTTCTGTCGTGTTCAGAAGCAGATAAGAATTTTGTTTTGAATACAGTAAAAGTAAGGTGAAATGTTCGCAGAGTACGTGTAATAAATTTTTCTCTGTCTGAAACACGAGTAAGGCGTGAAATTTATTAGCGAATATTTTTTATCTCTTCTGTGGTGTAGGGGATATAAATTTATCCATTTTCCTGTACATGTGGTTAGGCCACAGAATTGTTTTACCATTTTGTTGGATTGCCGAAGTTACTTTTTTTTGTGAGGTGGTGGGGGACGTGGAACAAGCCTGTCATCTGGAGTGAGAATCTTGCATGCTGAATCCGAATGGACGTACTAACTATTTCGTAACTTTTTGCTGTAGTTATACAAATTGTGTGTCTGACTGCGCACTTCGTTGTGTTTCTGTGTGTGCTTCCTGTATTAATTTCAACATGACGTATCCTGTACACAACAAGTTATGAGCGACGAAGCTTGGTGGAGCGAACGGCCTTCTTGCATATTTGATCTAAAGTTGTGTTTCATACAAACTTAAGACAGTAAAGCGGGCTCTTAAGTCGTTCGGGATGTAAGTAGATGCTCAACAAAAGACAAACAGGCACAATCATACGGTGTTGTATCGAGTACACCCACAGCGATTTTATAAGAATAAGTCACAAGAGAGGGGCCGTGTTATTTCGTGAATTTTAGATAAGTAACATGGCTTCTTATTTTAGTAATTTAATTAAGGTATTTATCTTCTAAACCAAAAATGTAGTTCGGTCTTTGAAATTTCAGAAAAAATGTGTAAATCTTGCCATTAACCTACATAAATAATATTTTACATTTTCTGAAATAATTTCAATCCTAACATAAAAAGTACAGGTTTCCCAAAAATATGTATACACAACCATTACATACGTAAGCGTTGTGTACACATCATTTTTGGGACGCCGCTGTATTATTACGATTTAAGCAAATTCTTAGCATATTTAGTAGATGTTAATTTTGCCGCTCGTTTATAATAAATGATAATTACTTGCAACAAACTAAGATCATATCAGTACAAAACCTAATTAGATATTAATGAAACTTACTAAACTCACTTAATCGATACCTCGTCGTGAAGCCTAAATTCTTGATTTTGTATGGAAAATGTACTCTTCCGCCTTTATCCTCATGTGTACACTTCCCTAATAATTTTAAACAGTATCGGTATTCACCTTTTTGTTTTAAATTATGTTTATCGAACCTTCTAGTTCAGTATTTAGAATTATGTAAGGTGATTGTATATATTACTTGTTGGAATATTTTCTCTGCATCATTCAGTTGCTTGGACTGCGTCTTCAGCTGACCAGTATACATATATTTTGGAATAATTGTAACTATATTTTTCTACTTTATGGTCTTTAGTCTTGCGTGCCATTTGAAGTGGTATTCAAAATAGTCAATTACGTTTTTGTAAAAAAAAAAATAGCGGAAAGTTTAATAAGATTTACTGCATGTCCAATGCCTTCACAGGATTCCGACATTACTAGAAAGCTTTTAAGGTTTTACGTACGCACGGACTGAAGCTTTACGATGGACTTACGTTCTTTCAAATTGATTTGACCGGAATGCGTGGACTCGCGCGATAAAGACCTCTAAAAGTCTGAATAATTTTGTCAGACTATAAAAATGTATTTACGTGTTTAAAGGACTGACAGATAGAGGAAATGTGTATTCCATTTGAAGTAAACAGAGTTTAAACATGAATTAATATCTGAATCTGCACTCCTCTTTCGTTTTGATGTTCATTTGTTACGCATACAAAGTAAAGAGATCGTTAGCAGTTAGAGATACTACAGTGATTTTCTGTTATTTTGACAGAACGAATCAACAATTCACGCATGTGACACTGAGGGATAAATTGCTTCTGTGTTTTGTTAATAGACGTAAACTACAATTAAAATTTAACCTGCAGATCGTACGGAGATCTAATTGTATAAAATGTGCTTAATTGTTTATACTAGGAGCCTAACTTTTAAATCTTTTAAGCTTTGGAATTGAAAATTATAGATTTAATTCTACCTCCTGCCATAAAAAGGCCTACGTATTTTATTTCCGTTTATACAGTGATTTTTTAATATTTTCTTGCAAGAATTGTGTAAAAATTTCTTGTTTACAGTGTGCTGCATATTCGGGTCATCTCAAACTTCTTGATTTGGTTATCTTACAATACTTTACATGGAAAGAAATTTGCAAAGTCTTCGTTATTTAAATTTTTCCAGAGTAATATGCATAAACTGTAAGGACATAAGAGACAGCTTTGAAATTCATTCTCACAACCTAACGCTAATTTTCGTGGATACTTGCAAAAAAATTTCCTGTCATCTGTACAAGTGCATCAAAGCTTATTATGTTGTTACTCTGGGTTTGGACGCCACGTATACCAGTAGGTAGATGCCAATTTTCGAAGAAACATACTGTCTCCACATTCAGTGTTGAAGTGACGGTGCTGGGAAGTGAAGGGATTTATATGGTCAGAGGCTTTGTCCGATCAGACCATTTCCCCTTATTCTCCGACTCTGTCTGGCCCATTCCTTCAACCGTTTTCAAATCCCTCCGCTTCTCAGACCGCCATTGCAGCCATGACGATGGATACAGTATGTTTACGTACGAGTCTGCAAGGCATCAAAACCCAAAAGGACAACATCGCCATCCTCATTGCTGTGAGAACCTCAAATCTCATAACGCAGAAACGTAGAAACTTGAACGTTCCCTAGCATTTTGTTGGGTTGGTAAATCGAACGTGGCAAATGTTGCAGAGCTCAATCTGGCACTGGGCCACAGTTCCTTGATATCGGCCACCCTGTGGAACTACCGTTCCGCCCTGGCAGTGGACGGCAACCCCGACACGTGCGGCTTCACACCTCGCACCGCTGAGCAGCGCTGGTGGCAGGTCGACTTGGTCACTGACCAGCACGTGGGATCAGTGGCAATTATCATCAACAAGGGTGAGTCAAAAGCCCCCCCCCCATCCAGGTACTTCTCGGGTGTGGGAGGAAGGGGTTCTGGCCCCTTTTAAGGTGTTGTTGCCCCAGGGTTTGTAATGTTTCAAATCTTTGCCTCCACGTCCCTCTACGCCTCCATTGCGGTCCTTAAGCACTTTTCCGTCACACCGTCTTAACGTACCCTACCAGTAAAAGTCTGTTGACGTAGTAATGACAAAGGAAACAGTAAAGACCAAGAATAGAGCGAAAATGTGCCTCGCTCTTATCATGAACCATGCACGATTATGCCTTATTTCCTGAGCGCTACTTTTCCTAGTTGTACCAAGTGAGTGTTTCCGTCTTCACAAAATGTCTCTCCC